CAATATATTTTTTCATCGCAGTAAGGACAGTAGAAGTTCGTTTTATGTATAAAAGAAACATTCGCGCTTTTAAATCCTTTTGTTTTATAACTATAATAACAATAAATAAATAGTATGTCCCTACGTAAAAAGTTTTTATAGTACAAAAATATTTAAACATATGTTTCAAAATTATAAGTATATTATAAAATTTTGGTTTCTTACGTTATATATATATATTTTTTCGCAATAATTATTTTTAGCAATTGGATTCATAAATGTATATATATAAAAAAAATTCAGACATAAAAATATTTTTCTTCTTCGAAATAAAATATTTTTTAAAAAGTGCTGTGTATGTACTTGGGTTTCGGTTTATGTTTTTTTTTTTTTTTTTTGTTATCTTGGGCAGTTTCAAATTTTTACTAATATTTTAGACCTATATGAGAGTAATATATGCATATATTATTTAGATATATATCTATTAGTTCATAAATTTACAATGGGAAATGACCAATCAACCAGAAGGCAAGTTTATTTATTCTTTTTTAAAAATTCGTATTTAATGACGTAATAGTTTGTTAGCCTAGTTGAAGCGTTTAAATTTGAAATTGTTTGAACATTTAAATAAGTCTTTTAATTTTTGTTAGTTATCATAAAAATCTTTTTATAACTAAATAAGAATAAATATTTAAGAATAAATTATTGATCCTTGAACACTTGTTGACGCATGCTCGAAAGTTTACTGTCAACTTATTGTTGTTTTGCTCTTCGAGTCGGCTGCCATATTTTAGCATTTTCACATTTTCATTCATAAATGATCCTTTAGATGAATCTCTAAATAAATATTTTAAGTCATTTCCGTTTTTTACCCACATAAGATCCAAATAATAATTAAATGGCCGAAAGCGCATTTTCTTTTGGCGAATTTTTACATTCCCCCCAAATTCGGTACAATTTTTACTTTCTCATTTTATTGAATTCAATTAAAGTTTGCCTCACCACATAAAGACATTTTTTTTTTGAAGTTAAAGAAAACAACAGGGTAACATATATATCAAAAGTGACATTTGATGTGTTTTCAAAATTAAATGCTTTGTTATATACCTCTTCCCAAATCTACCAATGTATAAAGCTTGTTTATGATTGGATATCAATGAATAATTCATGTTTCTGATTGATAAAAATATAATGACATCCTGCAAGTTTAAAAAAAAAAAACTTAGAGGAAGTCATGATAAAGGCACAATATGGATTATAGATTAAAACTACAAGATAAGACCAAATACAAATGAATAGTGTGTGACGTTTCAGTTACAACACTGTTACCAAAATGGCACACACTATTAATTTATTTGGATTTGGTCTTATTATCTTTTAGTTATGGTAAGTTACATTTATTGAAAAAGGAGGAGGGGGAGCAGTAAAAAGCTCACTAAAAAATCTGGGTTCAGCTGGCCATGCTGATAGTACCCTGTAAGGGCTCCTAATCCAGGGATACAGGATGAGCAGTGTTTGTACTCCATGTTAGGAGTGGCTGCACATGGCATCTATTCCTCATGTCAGAGGCAGCCATTTCTTTTGGAGCTAAGTCGGCCTGCCACTGTACAGCGTGTACTAGGAATAAGCAAAAAAAAAAAACAATTGTGTGTTAAACAGAGATTATTAATTTAGATATTCTGTTACTCAGTATATTTCTATAATTTATTGGTTGATAATTGATCAGATTAATATAAACTAAATAGCTTTGTCATCTTTATGTATGTCTTCTCTCATTTTTCAAAAGTTTCATTTTGTTGGAGATGCCCTAGCTAGATAATAAAGGAAGACAAACTGAAGATGGTCAACAGACCTTGAAGCCATGGGTGCTGTGAACTACAATTTCTGACTCCAGGATTTCTGTGTCAAAGTTAAGAATTACCTTCTAAGAATGATAAAGCACAATTATAATAAAAGAAAATAAGACCTAATCCAAATAATTTATTAGTGTGTGACGTTTCAACAACAACATTGTCACCATCATCAAGACAAAAGACTAAATGAGAAAAAAATATTACAGCAAGTTCTTAAATAGTACTGTTATCGAAAAACAACAAAAAAAATCCACTTTTAATTCTAAGAAGAATATTTCAAGTCTTGAAAAAATTTATTTTTCCTTATCTGTTATCTGGTTTAAACACTTGATAACAGTACTATTTAAGAACTTGCTGTAATATTTTTTCTCATTTATTCTTTTGTCTGATGATGGTGACAATGTTGTTGCTGAAACGTCACACACTGATAAATTATTTGGATTAGGTCTTATTTTCTTTTATTACCTTCTAAGAAGAAGAAGCCTCTATTGACCGACCCAATGATTACAGAGACGCTCTTTGCATAAAATGGATGTTAACTAATATAAGGCACAATTTGGATTATAGATTATAAACACAAGGTAATAAGACCAAATCCAAATAGTGTGTGACGTTTCGGTAACAGCGTTGTTATCATACTATTTAAACATGCTGTGGTATAATTTCAAATTCAGTTACTTTTGTCTGAAGATGGTAACAACACTTACAGAAACGTCACACATTATTTATTTATTTGGATTTGGTCTTATTACCTTGTATTTTATGGATGTTTGGGTGTGGAAGGTGACGATAGTTGCCTCGAAGATAGAGTCAGTAGGGTCGGGAAGCGACTCCACGTGTTAAAAAAAATTAAAACCTTTCAGAGCAGTAGTCTATGGTAGTCTCCCATTAAAATATGATACTGCTGGCTTATTTCCGCCCTATCAAGTGGGAAATTTGATCCTTGTTTAGTTTAGTTAGTTCCCCTGGCTGGAGGTAGGATTGAAAAAGTCTCAGGTAACATTTTCCTCCCATATTTTTATTTGAAAAGAATTTAGAAGTCAAATACAAGGTAATAAGACACCAAATCCAAATAAATAAATAGTGTGTGACGTTTCGGTAACAGTGTTGTTATCATACTATTTAAACCTGCATGGTATAATTTCTCATTCAGTTACTTTTGTATGAAGATGGTAACAACGCTGTTACTGAAATGTCACACACTATTTATTTATTTGGATTTGGTCTTATTACCTTGTGTTTATAATCTATAATCCAAATTGTGCTTATCAATTTAGAAGTCAGGACATTTTAAAAAGATCATAAAAGCAAATCTTTACACAAACAAGCAGAAAAGAAGCTTACTGGTTCAAACTGAGTATAATTTAGAAGAGAGACATTTCCCTGATCAACTTGAAGATTAAAAAAATCAAACCTAATTTATGTTGTAAGCTTTCCTAGTAAATGTAAAAAAAGGGTGTAGAAGATGCCTGCAAAAGAAAAACCAAACAACATTTTACTGCCCAGATTTCCACAATAAGCAAGAATTGTGTCATGCCATGCTTCAGAGATTATCATATGAAAGAAAATTTTGAAAATCTTGTTGTAACTGTCCAATTTAAGTATATGTTCTATTATATATTTGAATATAATAAAAAATCTATTTTAATTATTTTAAAAATTTATGCATATATTTTTATATATATAACCCCCATTAAAAAATCATTAAAATTGTTTGTACATAAGAACAGTAATAATCTATATTCCAATGTATCAAATCATTGAATAAATACACACATACATACAACCTCATTAAGACCATCAGTCCTATACAGCTTGACCACAGAAAGAAAGGAAGCATAGATGGGGAGCTCCTATACTCCATGCAGCACAGAATCATTAAATAAATAAAAAATGAAAATAAATCAATTTTAGAAAAAAAAAAGAGAGAAGATTTTGATCATTTTTTGAAAAATATAGGCACAATTTGGATTATAGATTATAAACACAAGGTAATAAGGTCTTATTACCTTGTATTTTTGAAAAAAAAAAAAAAAATGACTAAGCGACAAAATGACACCAGCACTCAAAGGGTTAAGATGTTAGGGACCACTTTTCAAGATGCTGAGGGAAACCTTGATCTAAAAGATCTCCATGTTAGCAACAATGTAATTTGGTAAGAATGTTGTTAAAGAAATTTCACCCACTATTTATTTATTTGGATTTGGTTTTATTACCTTGAGCTTTGTGGAATTTAATGTTTAATTTATTAAGCAACATAAATATTAATTAGATTATTTTTTTTTAACACAGAATATTTCTCTTATTCGTGTTGTTGTTTGATATAAGTTGGTAATTAATTTGAGAGAGAGAGAGATCAAAGTGAAATTTGTGGATTATATAAACATAAAGTAAATAAAACTAAATACATATATAGTGTTTGACATTTTGGTAACAGCATTGTTACCATCATCAGATAAAAGACTAAATGGTTTATCATTCACTACTTTTGTCTGATAATGGTAACAATGTTGTGTTAAAGTGAAAGGTACAATTTGTGGATTATAGATTATAAACACAAAGTAATAAGACCAAATACATATATAGCGTGTGAAGTTTTGGTTAACAGCATTGTTACCATTATTAGATATAAAACTAAAAAGTTTATCATTCAGTACTTTTGTCTGAGGATGATAAAAACACTGCTACCGAAACGTCACACACTATTTATTTATTTGAATTTGGTCTTATTAACGTGTTTTTCTACCCTGAAGGGCTCCTAATCCAGGGATACAGGATGAGCAGCGTTTGTACTTCATTTTTAGGAGCGGCTGCACATGGCGTCTGTTCCTCATGTCAGAGGCGTCCATTTCTTTTGGAGCTAAATCAGTGGCCTGCCACTGAGTAGTACTCCCAGTCTTAATGACAAAGGCAGACACATTCTACTTCACCCAGTCATGATGGTTGTCAAACAAGCTTGATACCCTAATATGATTGAGTGGAGATAAGAAAGAAGAAGAAGACCTTGTGTTTAATTTGATCAAAATAAATGGCTTTGCTTGTCATCCTTATGTTTATCTACGTGACAATATAAGGTAAAAAAAGAAAGTGTGCTTTAAAGATAGTTTCATATCTTCAATATTTAAAGTCAAAAAAGTTTAGAAAAAAAGTATTTTCAAGAAAATAATCTACAGGGTATCCTAGTGGACATGGCACCTGCCCGGTAAGCAGAAGGTTGTGGGTTCGATTCCCGCCCCTGGACACTTTTATTTTTTCGTTTGTCATTACTCTTCACAATTCATCCTATCATACTTCATCCTTAAAAGTTAGAAATAATCGTTATTTCTCTTTAAAATAGATTTCGATTTTTGTTTAAAAGAAACATTCGCGGTATAATTGCAATTTTCGTTTTAAGAAAATAATCTGTTAAGACATTTCACTAACAAAATTGTCACCATAATACAAAGACATGGTAATATTCTTCAAATGTTATGATAAGGCACAATCTGCATTATAAACACAAGGTAATTAAGATGAAATATAAATAAATAGTGTCACACAGTTTTGGTAACAAAGCTGATAGTCACACACCATTTATTTATTTGGGGGGGGGGTCTGTGGAAGGATGGTCTAAACCAGCCCTGGCCAACCTAAATGACCGCCACGGGCCGCACGGAATCGTAAACAAGGTCTAAAAACTTTAACCATATCAAAATTTTAACTTTAAAATGTATTAAAATATTTTAAATAAAAAAATTATTATAATTATTTCAATATATTTTATGTTTTTGAATATACAGACGAGAAATGAAAGTTACAAAAGAAATATAAAGTTAAATGGCGAGCCGCAAAATTTTTTACGCATGTGGCCCGAGGGCCGCAGGTTGGCCAGGCCTGGTCTAAACAGTTGGTTTTGGACCGCTACGACCCGGGTACGATTCCCGTATTGGGCATTTTTTCTGATAAAAAAATGCTTCAATAGCCCCCGATTCTTGCAAAAGTCTAACCCCACCAGCGAGTGTAAGTAACCAAACAGGGCTCTAGTATACTTATAAGTGCAAAGTCGAACTTCTTTTCACATGTGTAGATATGTGGTGCACTTACAGTAAAAGAAGTCACTTACTTCTACCCACCATGGTAATCATGACCTGTACCACGTGTACTAAGGATAAGCAAAAAAAAAAATCATTTATTTGGATTTGGTCTTATTACCTTGTGTTTTTAAGAGTGTGATTGTATTACAACAACAACAAAAGCCCCTATTTAGGGCATTCCGCCCCATATAGGATTCGCCGTATTTACACATCAACAAGAGGAGAGGGAAGAGGAAACATTTACAACAAAATAAAGTTTGTCTCACATTCAGTTAACTATTTACAGATAGGTCATCCTCCAGTATCCTTTGCCCTGCATTCTTTCTCATGCGCCCAGCTTCTGTGCAGAACTTAAAGTATCTAACAATCAGTAATTCATCATCCAGAGCTGAAGAGAGAAGTTGACATATGCGATGGTATCTAAATTGACCAAAGTTAGGGCTTGGGAAAATTTCAGTACGTTTTTCTGCTAAGAGAGGGGGTGTGATTATATTAAAGTCTTGGTTTAGTTTGATTTGAGTTAGTTATACAAGTGCTATATATATCCCTCACCATTTAGATTATAGAATAGGGCAACAAGAACAAATATATAAAACTGTACGTGAACATTTCTGTTATAGTGTTGTTACCAATTTCAGACAAAACATTGATAAGGCACAATTTTGATTGGACACACACTATTTATTTGGATTTGGTCTTATTACCTTGTATTAACAAAAGTCATTGTTATTGATATTTTCTGTAAACACAAGGTAATAAGACCAAATCCAAATAAATAAATAGTGTGTGACGTTTCGGTAACAGTGTTGTTACCATCTTCAGATAAAATACTTTGATTCATTACTTTCATATGAAGATAGTAACAACGCTGTTACCGAAATGTCACACACTATTTATTTATTTGAATTTGGTATTATTACCTTGTGTTTAAAATCTATAATCCAAATTGTGCCTTATTGATATGGTCTGTACTTTTCAATGCGAGTGTTCTATTGTATTTTGAAATAAAGAAAGAAATGGGGGGAAAAACCACTTTAATTGCAATAGAGCTTTAGCATCCTGTCATTGTCAAGTTCCAGCAAGGATGTTATCACAGCTGGCTTCCCTATCTTCCACTGAGATTAGATAGTTGCCCTGGTGTACATCACAGAAGCTGAAATATTTCTCACATTTATTGTGTTTTACCCTTTATCTAGGAGGTTGGTGTCCTCTCATGGAGGTTGTTCTATTGGCAATGAAAACTGTCCTTTGTAGAGAGGTGTTCTCTAGTAGGAGTGTCCTCTCATTGAGATTGTTCTACTGTATTGGCGATGGAAACTGTCCTTTGTAGAGAGGTGTTCTCTATTGTGAGTATCCTCTCATGGAGGTTGTTCTACTGTATTGGCAATGAAAACTGTCCTTTGAAGAGAGTGTCCTCTCATTGAGGTTGTTCTACTGTATTGGATATGAAAACTGACCTTTGTAGAGAGGTGTCCTCTCATGGAGGTTGTTCTACTATATTGGCAATGAAAACTGTCCTTTGTAGAGAGGTGTCTTCTAGTGGGAGTGTCCTCTCATGGAGGTTGTTCTACTGTATTGGCGATGGAAACTGTCCTTTGTAGAGAGGTGTTCTCTATTGTGAGTATCCTCTCATGGAGGTTGTTCTACTGTATTGGCAATGAAAACTGACCTTTGTAGAGAGCTGTTCTCTCATGGAGGTTGTTCTACTGTATTGGTGATGAAAACTGTCCTTTGTAGAGAGCTGTTCTCTCATGGAGGTTGTTCTACTGTATTGGTGATGAAAACTGTCCTTTGTAGAGAGCTGTTCTCTCATGGAGGTTGTTCTACTGTATTGGCAATGAAAACTGACCTTTGTAGAGAGCTGTTCTCTCATGGAGGTTGTTCTACTGTATTGGTGATGAAAACTGTCCTTTGTAGAGAGCTGTTCTCTCATGGAGGTTGTTCTACTGTATTGGTGATGAAAACTGTCCTTTGTAGAGAGGTGTTCTCTCATGGAGGTTGTTCTACTGTATTGGCAATGAAAACTGTCCTTTGTAGAGAGCTGTTCTCTCATGGAGGTTGTTCTACTGTATTGGCAATGAAAACTGACCTTTGTAGAGAGCTGTTCTCTCATGGAGGTTGTTCTACTGTATTGGCAATGAAAACTGACCTTTGTAGAGAGCTGTTCTCTCATGGAGGTTGTTCTACTGTATTGGTGATGAAAACTGACCTTTGTAGAGAGCTGTTCTCTCATGGAGGTTGTTCTACTGTATTGGTGATGAAAACTGTCCTTTGTAGAGAGCTGTTCTCTCATGGAGGTTGTTCTACTGTATTGGTGATGAAAACTGTCCTTTGTAGAGAGCTGTTCTCTCATGGAGGTTGTTCTACTGTATTGGCAATGAAAACTGACCTTTGTAGAGAGCTGTTCTCTCATGGAGGTTGTTCTACTGTATTGGCAATGAAAACTGTCCTTTGTAGAGAGCTGTTCTCTCATGGAGGTTGTTCTACTGTATTGGCAATGAAAACTGACCTTTGTAGAGAGCTGTTCTCTCATGGAGGTTGTTCTACTGTATTGGCAATGAAAACTGACCTTTGTAGAGAGCTGTTCTCTCATGGAGGTTGTTCTACTGTATTGGCAATGAAAACTGTCCTTTGTAGAGAGCTGTTCTCTCATGGAGGTTGTTCTACTGTATTGGCAATGAAAACTGTCCTTTGTAGAGAGCTGTTCTCTCATGGAGGTTGTTCTACTGTATTGGCAATGAAAACTGACCTTTGTAGAGAGCTGTTCTCTCATGGAGGTTGTTCTACTGTATTGGCAATGAAAACTGACCTTTGTAGAGAGCTGTTCTCTCATGGAGGTTGTTCTACTGTATTGGTGATGAAAACTGTCCTTTGTAGAGAGGTGTTCTCTCATGGAGGTTGTTCTACTGTATTGGTGATGAAAACTGTCCTTTGTAGAGAGCTGTTCTCTCATGGAGGTTGTTCTACTGTATTGGCAATGAAAACTGACCTTTGTAGAGAGCTGTTCTCTCATGGAGGTTGTTCTACTGTATTGGCAATGAAAACTGTCCTTTGTAGAGAGCTGTTCTCTCATGGAGGTTGTTCTACTGTATTGGCAATGAAAACTGTCCTTTGTAGAGAGCTGTTCTCTCATGGAGGTTGTTCTACTGTATTGGCAATGAAAACTGACCTTTGTAGAGAGCTGTTCTCTCATGGAGGTTGTTCTACTGTATTGGCAATGAAAACTGTCCTTTGTAGAGAGCTGTTCTCTCATGGAGGTTGTTCTACTGTATTGGCAATGAAAACTGACCTTTGTAGAGAGCTGTTCTCTCATGGAGGTTGTTCTACTGTATTGGCAATGAAAACTGACCTTTGTAGAGAGCTGTTCTCTCATGGAGGTTGTTCTACTGTATTGGTGATGAAAACTGTCCTTTGTAGAGAGCTGTTCTCTCATGGAGGTTGTTCTACTGTATTGGCAATGAAAACTGACCTTTGTAGAGAGCTGTTCTCTCATGGAGGTTGTTCTACTGTATTGGTGATGAAAACTGTCCTTTGTAGAGAGCTGTTCTCTCATGGAGGTTGTTCTACTGTATTGGCAATGAAAACTGACCTTTGTAGAGAGCTGTTCTCTCATGGAGGTTGTTCTACTGTATTGGCAATGAAAACTGACCTTTGTAGAGAGCTGTTCTCTCATGGAGGTTGTTCTACTGTATTGGCAATGAAAACTGACCTTTGTAGAGAGCTGTTCTCTCATGGAGGTTGTTCTACTGTATTGGCAATGAAAACTGACCTTTGTAGAGAGCTGTTCTCTCATGGAGGTTGTTCTACTGTATTGGTGATGAAAACTGTCCTTTGTAAAGAGCTGTTCTCTCATGGAGGTTGTTCTACTGTATTGGTGATGAAAACTGACCTTTGTAGAGAGCTGTTCTCTCATGGAGGTTGTTCTACTGTATTGGCAATGAAAACTGACCTTTGTAGAGAGCTGTTCTCTCATGGAGGTTGTTCTACTGTATTGGCAATGAAAACTGACCTTTGTAGAGAGCTGTTCTCTCATGGAGGTTGTTCTACTGTATTGGCAATGAAAACTGACCTTTGTAGAGAGCTGTTCTCTCATGGAGGTTGTTCTACTGTATTGGTGATGAAAACTGTCCTTTGTAGAGAGCTGTTCTCTCATAGAGGTTGTTCTACT